AGACAAACAAGTTTGTTTACATTTGCAGGATATAATGCTGCCCACTTCTTATTTACTATGTCACCTGAAAGTGAGAACAGGTGCTCTCATGGCACGGTCGTAGCCGGCGTCGCAAGGTATATACGTGCCAAATGTGCTAAAGATTCAGATGTCCCTTCATGCTTCAACCACCATTCCAGGGCACATGCATCCATGCTGATGATGAGTTCTACTCGATAACAATCCAAAGCAGTGTGGACCGACGCATGTTCATTTTCATTATCTGAGTCAGATGCCAATAGCAGAAGGTTGATTTTCTTTTTTGGTGGTTCGGGTTCTGTAGTTTCCGCATCAGAGTGTTGTTCTTTTAAGATTTCTGAAAGCATGCTCCACATCCCATCCCAACCAGATTTTGAAAGGCACTTGAGATTCTTAAATCTTGGGTTGAGTGCTGATTTCTTTAGAAATCTCACATTGGTACCTTCTTTGTGTTTTGTCAAATCTGCAGTGAAAGTGTTCTTAAAATGAATCATGTGTGCTGGGTCATCATCCAAGACTGCTATAACATGCAATATATGGCAGAACGCGGGTAAAACAGAGCACGGGATATACAATTCTCCCCCAAGGAGTTCAGTCACAAATTTAATTAACGCATTATTTTTTTTAACGAGTGTTATCAGCATGGAAATATGCAGTCTGGAATGGTGGCTGAAGCATAAAGGGCCAAACGAATGTTTAGCATATCTGGCACATAAATACCTTGCAATGCCGGCTACAATAGTAGGAGCGTTGCCAGCAGATCAAGGGAAGTGATTATTTCCCTCTATTCGGCACTGGTAAGGCCGCATCTGGAGTACTGCATCCAGTTTTGGGCTCCCCACTACAGAAAGCATATGGACAAAATGGAGAGAGTCCAGCAGAGGGCAACGAAAATTATTAGGGGGCTGGGACACATGACTTATGAGGGGAGGCTGAGCAAACTGGGCTTATTTAGTACTCTTCTGCAGAAGAGAAGAGTAAGGGGAGATTTTATAGCAGCCTTCAACTACCTGAAGGGGGGTTCCAAAGAGGATGGAGTTAGGCTGTTCTCAGTGATGGCAGATGACAGAACAAGGAGCAATGGTCTCAAGTTGCAGTGGGGAAGGTCTAGGTTGGATATTAGGAAAAACTATTTCACTAGAAGGGTGGTGGAGCACTGGAACGTGTTACCTAGGGAATTGGTGGAATTTCCAACTTTAGAGGTTTTAAAGGGCCGGCTTGACAAAGCCCTGCCTAGGATGATTTGGCTGGGGTTGGTCCTGCTTTGAGCAAGGGGTTGGACTAGATGACCTCCTGAGGTCTCTTCCAACCCTAATCTTCTATGATTCTAAGAGTTCAGCATTATCTCTTTGTAGGCTCTGAAGTTTTACATTGTTTTGTTTTTGTACACTTTTTTAGTTCAATTACAACACAGAATACAATATATATGAAAATGTAGAAAAAATCCAAAATATTTAATAAATTTCAATTGGTATTCTATTGTTTAACAGTGCGGTTAAAATTGCGATTAATCATGATTAATTTTTTTGAGTTAATCACGTGTTAACTGCGATTGACAGCCCTAATTATAACTTGTTAAACATCCAGAGACTGAAGTTCCCCAACTATTGGCTTAAAGGTGTATGTTATCTCATCTAATCTATCTAGATATTCATACAATGAACTTCTCAATAGTCTTCAAATGCCTGTTAATTTCTTGTTATTGTTCCCTGCAAGGAATTTCTTGTATAGCATCAACTACTACTGAAAAGGCTGTCTGGAAGTTTAGTATTCAGGTAATTGCATGGTGTGTAATTTGGAATCTTTTAAAAATGTATTTTTCAGAGAAGTCTTAAAATGGTAGAAATTGATCTTTTATCGCTGTATAAAAGTTGAGTTGCTCTCAGGGCCATGAAAGTGCATTTAGGATCCTTTCGTTGATATCCCTTTTAGATTTGGAACAAGCAGACAGCTAGTGAACTGGCTCAAGGTCAAGTTTTTCCTCTTCTAGGAAGAAGAAAAGCAAGTGTGCAATTTGAATTTAGAATGTCAACAGGCACCAAAGCATGAGAGATAATACTGTGAAAAAGAAGCAAAAAAACAGAAGTTCTCTGTTATCAGTTACATTTTTACTGAAGAGAACTATACACCATGAATGCAAAACACTGGCCAAGATTTTTAAACACGGTTATGTCCATCCGTGCTGGACACAGCATAAGAAAAATAAGCAGCATTCAGACATTTGACCAAATGGAAGATAGACTAGAAAAATGTTATCTGAACTCAAATAAACAATATTTTAAACAAAGAGTTCAGGTTGAAAGTGTGTTACAGCTGAACCCTTAAAGGGGCCTTATTTTCAGAGGGTGGTGCTTGGTACTTTATGAAAATCAGGCCCCTTTAAGGTGTTGCGGCAAAATACCTTGTTCTCCTCAATAGGCTCAGTTCTTTTTAGCCTTGGAGACTCAGGTTTGGGGCAAGGCGAATCCTTATAGGTGGCACAGGGTCCTGCTACTCCTCTCCTCAATCAGTCCCTTGTGCTTGTTTTCCTTCTCTTCTGAGGAGCAAGTGCAGCCTCCCTACTGAGAAGTTTTGGTGTCTTGCTGCAAACAGCCTACTGGCAGCTTCCCTGCTCCTCTCACTCCCTCACCCTCCTCCTCCTCCTTCTAGCCAGCAGAGGGTTTAAAAAGGTCCCAAGTAGTTGGAGTCAGCTGAACCTAATTGGTTCCCTAGCAACCCCTTTTCCAGCTGAACCTTATTGCCCCCTGGTTATCTCTCCTCAGTGGGTAGGGAGGGGCCTTTTAACCCTCTGGGACTAAATACTACCCCCCTTTTGTAGCTGTTTGTCCTGGGTTTACCACAGTGTCTCAAGTTGGGCAGCCAAGAACAGACACCAAAAATCACCAGTCACTTCTGAACATCTTGGCCATAATTTTTTTACATGAGTAATGATCTGATGTTATAGTAATATTGGAAATGGATCTCTTAATAGGAAGCATATTGCCTGTGCCTCTGCCAGTCACTTGCAGTTCAGTGTTCGCTCTCCCCTGTTCCCCTTTTATGCCCTTTTTCTATTCCCTAGCCCTCTATGCACTTCTTCATCCCATCTCCATACATCCAACAGTCTCCCACTCCCTCCTCCATCACTTACCCAGTCATTCCCACACCTCTTGCTCAGCCTAGCCTGCTGTAGCAAAGCCTGGAGTTAGTGAAAGGTCCATTTTATATTAGCAACTTTTGAATTTTTATACTTTTTTTTAAATATTGCACTGTACACACCCAAACAGCTCTTATATCTTCGTTGTTCCTGAAATAATCCCAAACTCCTCAAAAAAAAAAATTAGAATTGCAAATGGCACCCTGAGCAAGGCCAAACACATTTATAGCAGTTTTGAAGATACGAGTAAAAAAATATTAGAAAACTTTTTGAAAACTGAATGACAGAAAAATTCTTCAAACATTGTAACTATAACATTCCTTTCCCAATTTCTTCCAAACTCTCTAGGAAAACTCTACTCTGGGATGAGATAACACATAGGAAATTTCAGGGGGATGGACTTCTCTTTTGGTAAAGTCATGGGTTTATATGAAGAAGCTTCAGTATTAAGTGTGGAGTGCCCATCACCACTACAGAACACTGAACCCAATCCTCAAATCCTTACTCAGACAAAACCTATACACTAATTATACTTCTGTCCAATAAGTACCCAAACAATCTTCTGAGAATCTGTCTCCACAGAAATAAATACAAAGTGGAAAAACTGACAAAAAAAGGAAAGGGTGAGGGGGGGGGGGGAAACTCAAGTGGATGAAAACTGGATGATTCCAGGTCCACTAGACTAGATCCATAATCCTAATCAAATTGGAGAAGGGTTAGACAAAATATCATGGGAGAATATTGCTATAAAGAGTAGGGACTTTATCAAATCCCTGCTGTTCAGGGATGAGTGATGAGATAGTGAGGAGTGTAACTGAAGGAATGAAGAGAAAAAAACCTCAATATGGTAGCTATCTTAAATCAAAGTGGAATCTAAACGTGTTCAAGTCTAGAAAACTTGAATTCATTGCTAAAGATTAACAGAAAAAGATCAAACCTGACGTGCTAAATCTGTATGCACACATAAATGTACAAAAAAATACAGAATATTTTAAATACAATATTGAATTGATTTTAACAAACAACTCCTTACATCCTATTTATAAGAAATACATTAATTGTCTAATTGTATTTGCCTCATGTATATTGTAATGCCAAAAATATACAGCACGTTAAAAAACTATTAAAAATATGTCTGTGTCCTAAGGAGAGATGACAGACTGAAAATATACTGGCTGGAATATTTTAAAGTGTTAATGTCCTATCTAAATGTTTTAAGCCCAATTAAAGTCCTCCTAATGGTAAAAGTGGAAATAAAGAACAGAGAGCCCTATCATCTATTACTGCCAACATCCAATAAATACATATGCTGAGGTGGTCTGTGGAACTTGGTGGAGAGAGATCTCCATCTGGCCTCATTTTCAGAATGAGGTATTCTCTTTCACAGATTTCATTTATGTGATGAAAGATGATTTATCTCACAAGCTAAAGTAACATCTGTCATCATTCAATGTTGTAACAAAGTACAGTATTTACAAATATGGTAGGAAGCCACGACTGAACAGGAATATCGGCCTCAATACAGGCTGCAGGCTGCTTTACAAGGTATTTACGCAAATCACTAGATTTACATCAAGGTAGAGGAGCTGAGCCTATGCCAGCTTCCCTTAAAAAAAAAATCTACAGAGAGGTGTTTTTTAACAGTTTCTTCTCTAAATGACATTTATTCGTGATTTATCATTCAAAGTGTCATGATTGCTTCCAAGTTGTTTCCATCTCTAAAAGGACTGGCCAAGTTATTGTTTACTATTTCAAAAACTGAGACTAAATTACCAGATAGCTTTCATTTGAAGCCAATAAATAAATAAATAAATAAATAAATAAATAAATACACTGTTTATTTTACCCCAAGATTCCAACTATTGAGACGAGCTTCAAGATCACTGTCATCCAAAGAAATGGTTTTTTTGTGTTGAACTTCCTGGAATATGAAAATGGAGATATTAGAAGAGCAGACAGATATACAATTTCAAGAAACTTTTAGTTTAACTATACTGCCCTCAAAGGAAAAAAAAAATATATGGTCCCATATCAAAAAGAAGAGTTTTGGTCCCCCTTGAAAACTCACTTTCCCCTTTTGAAACCATCCGTCTGGAATTGGGCTGCTGCTGTTCTTGGCTTCAATTCAGGTAGCTCCACCACCTACCTGTTGCTAGATAATTTGTGCCTAACGCTGCTCCCTTTCCATATTCTCAGAATGTAACAAAACAACAAATATAACTGCATTACAAAAGCAGAAAGAACACACCCTCTCTCCCCGCACCCCGCCAAGCAGGTTTCCAGAGTGGAGACTAAAGCTGGCGGGGAATTTTTCAATACATTTTTCTGTCAAATTAGCATTTTCTGTCAAAACTGAAACTTTTGATGGAAACTTATCCATTTTCACTAAACTTTGGTTGGGATGGTTTCTCAGGTCCAGAATGGAATTTTTAATCAACATCAGAGAGATAGCAAAAACCCATCCCAGAATAGCTAATAGCCTAATGGTGAGGGACACACACCTGAAACATGCAGGTTCAAGTCCCTGCTCTATCTGATTCAGAGCAGTGACTTGAACCTGAATCTTCCACATCCCAGGTGAACGCCCAGTTACTGGGATATTCCTATGCTGGGGGGGGGGGGTGAGTTTTTCTCTCACAGTTTTCAGTAAAAGTTTCAAAAGGTCTCAGTTTCGTTCCATGGTGGATGGGAAACAAAATGTCAGAACCTCAGAATTTTTCATGGAACATAATTTTTTTCCCTGTCTGCCTTAGTGATGATCTCCTTCACAGGGAGTGAATTTACAAGATGAGACCAAAATCCACCTTTCCGCAAGGAACTGAGGTATGCCTAGCAATACCCCAAAACAGAGCTAGGTGGGACTAACTCTGACGGGGAACAAGCACACTGACCAGCCACAAAGTAGAGGAAGACTGAAGACAGTGAACTGTAGTATAGAAGAGAGTGGTGATACTGGGCAGAGCAGCCCAGGAACAGAGCCAAGAGGAGCAGCAGACCAGCTCCAGACCAGAAAAGCAGTTTCCAACACTGAGCAATGACTGGTGATTACTGTTGCTTTAGGCTACAAATGTCTTTCACAATGGGTTTCATTGTAGCACAACAGTAACTAATTATTTTATTTAATGCATTAAAAAGACTTCAAAAAAATTATTCCAGACATTTCTATTTCAGTTCTATAATAGAAGTTTAATTGTAGTAAACTACAGTAGTTCGAAAAACAATGCACGGAAGCACGAATTATGATGTCTCATTTGGTTTTGTTAACTAGAAGTTTTTTAAGATCGCATGCAAGCTTCTCTTTGTTCAAAAACGTGTTCTCATTCAGACACCATAACCATGTAGAGATGTGAGCTTTTAGTTCAAGGAATGAACACACAATTGAGGGAGTTCTTTACTTCTTAAGTAAACTCCCTGATTCCTCTACCTGGGACTGAATTATGCCAGAACATCTGCACATCATAGACAATAACATGCTGTTTGTTCCAGGCAGCCAAAACAACCAAACTGTTTGGCAAAGCTAAAAAGAATTATTTTATTTATAGGCTTTTCTATGGCACTCATCACAGAGGTATCTGAAGGCTTGGCTACACAGAGCTTTAGTCACACGAGAGGTGTAAATTCAGTCTGCACTAGCATGTTGCACACTGGCCCACATTCTGGTGTGCACTAAAAGTTCCCTAGTGCACACTAACATAGTACTGTTTGAAACTGGACTACATTAACACGGACCAAAGGAACTTTTAGTGCGCACCAGCAGGGTTCACAAAGGCCAGTTAGCATGCAACATGTTAGCGCAGACTAAAATTTGCACCACTTTTGTGGAAACTAAGGCACTGTGTAGACAACCCCGAGATAACGAAGGAAAGCAAAATGAGATGGCGTGACTTGCTGTGCCACCAGCTTCCTGTGTGACTTTTGTCTAGGCACAGGATCGAGACCTCCTAAATCCCAGCCCAGAGTCTTCAATGTAAGACCATCCTTTTCTTTTATAAAATAGTGTTTCATATTAAACACTTATGTTGCTTCAAATAAAGCAAATACTGGGCAATAAGACACTTTTTTTCAAGTGTCTAGCACCTCTACTAAATTGAAAAACGTGTCAATTACATATGGAATATGATATCACCTACAGTCTAGAGATATCACATTTATGAAGGGAAACAGCATACATATTGACAACTGTATAGTTTCTTAGCAAGAACTTTTGTTTTTAAATTGCTTGTAATTGACATATCATCAAATATTTAGGACTATAAAAGATTCTATATAAAGTCTGTTTAGTCTCTTTCGTTAAGCCATAGTGCTGGTTGTCTAATACTGGATAAAACAATCAGTCCAAAATTAAGTCCTTCAAAAAGGTCAACTATCATTAAATGCAGCCAAAAAAGCCTCAACAGTTTTCTTTAATCTATTATTGAATAATACAAGATGACATCAACAGCAGTTAATTTGCCAAATTGTTTAATGGGAACAATGCAGCTGACCAGCCTTGTTCTTCACTAAATCAGGGTCATCCACCTAGGACAAAGTGCAAGTAATCAGTGTGCATTTTTTTTCTGCAATTGCAGAGCACCTACTTTGGTGAGCTTCAGTCCTTCCCACTGCTGTTTGCTACGTTTCTCTGCCCACACACAGGGATGACTTTTACAATTAGAAATGACAATTTTATAGGGCTACATAAAAATAATTCACTGAAACAAGATCAAATTTATTACAAAAAAGTAAAAAAGCATCTTACAGGTGTCTGCACAGCATGGTTGTCCTCATCTGACCGGTGAGGTGGACTCACAGAATGTGACCTTAATGCTAGCTTCCCATTATACTTGTATCTTTCCCTGTCGTCACAAAACAGTAACAACCAAAATATAAAGAATTCACATCTAATACCATACTGGACAGATATCTTGATCTCAAAATATTTTTAAAGTAATAGATACAAGAGAAAATACTATGTGAGGTTATACAGATTAAAAATAAATTGGTTAACTGAATAAGAGGGAAAATTGTGTTTTTGTAGCATCTAAATTGAAGCATTTTAAAAATAGTGGATTTGGAATGAATTTCTCAAATACTCTTCAAAAATAAATTCACAATATTTAACACATCATGTAATGCTGTGTTATTGCAACATGTTTTCTTTGTTTTTCCTTGTTACATAAATATGGATGTTGGGTAATACGACAATTATTAATTTAGCTAGAATTTTATTCTTCACAATTGTGTACATTTTAATCCATTTACTCCTAAAGAAGATTTGCACTGGCTCAATACTGTTAGGTTTTATTTTGTAATATTAAAAGATTGCATTTTCTAAAAATACCCAGAATTTGCTCCAGGGATAGTGTTTTTAACATCAGAAGACATAGCCTAAAGTTGGTGGGGAAAAAACTTATTTGGAAGTGAATTGTTGATAATATAGAACATCAGAATTCTAACATCATGCACACAACTTCAATTAGACTTGTGATCCTAATTCCCCTAGGTGCTTTTTGAAAATCCCACCCTAAACTGATAATTACATTGTGCATTGAAGATACCTACCAAATTCCTGGGTCTCTACATGTTATACAAAGTAATAACTTTGGAACAATTTCCTAAGTTCAAGGAAAAAAATAAGAAAAGGCTCCACATAATTAATGATGACTAAAACATTTATGGCAGTGGAATAATATTCAGAAACAGAAAGGCTATATTATGAAGCAGCTTGTACTATTGGTGAGATAATTTTCAATTGGTGTCACGAGTAGGGTCACAGTGATATGACAATTATCTTCCATTTATAGCACATTTTATCAGAAGGATCAAAGGGCTTGATAAAACTATACATAGAAATCACTTCATCCAACATGGAAGGGAAATTACACACCATCAGTTATTCTTCTTTGAAGGTATCATTTGATTGGATCCCTGCTCTTTGGTCTCAGATCTCTTACATGAGACAGGTTAGAGTTCTGCTAGTTCTTCAAGATTTTTAACTCCTTATGGCACTGGCAGTTCAGCTCTATTCAGAGCCCAACAGCTGGTAATTCAGTGCCTCAAGAACACTGTTTCAGTTCTTTGATGAGCAGGAAGCACAGAGTTCCCCAAACCCAAATGTTAAATGTGATAGCTGACAAAAGAATATTTATGCTGTTCAGACAACCACTTGGGACAGGGATGGGACACTCTGCCAGTGGGTTTCACAGATATTTGCTGAGAGCAAAGGAATGGTGAGACTCAGAAGTCTTGGATTCTATTCCAGGCTCTGGAAGTCTTGTGGCACAGACTTTTCTACCTGCTATCAGTTACCCCTTTAGCTCACGTGGGAGAGATATGTGTGGTGGAGCTAAAGATTCCAACCCTGCAGATTACCCATGTGGGTGTTAATATGATGCCACTTGATGGAATTTGTATGTTCAGTTTCCTCTTTCAAAAACCTAGGAAATTACATACAAAAAAATTCTTTAAAAAGAATATTACTATGGTTGCAAAGTCAAGCACTCAAAAGCTAGGAAATGCCAGAATTAAGGTTGCCTGAAACCCATCTGATGAGAAGGGACATAAATGTGAAGACTAAATTCCAAATCTTAAAATCTTACATTTGGTCTGTGTTAAATTACAGCTATGGAAACACGGACATCCAAAATATTGATAATAAAGCAATTACAATCCTTTGAATTATGAGGTTATAGAAGAAGTCTGAAAAGATCATGGATAGACGAAGTAACCAACAAAAGGGTACTGGAGATGACTGGAACTCAGCAAATGCTAGTCAGAAATGTTATGAAAAGAAAGATTCAATTTGCAGGGCAAATTTTAAGAAGTTCAGCAGTTGATACATGTTATGGGCACTGGAAGAGAAAGCGGACGACAGAAGAACACTAAGCAGAAAAAGATGATCTTGGTCAGATGAGGTGGTATAAATGATGGATCAAAAGGATTATTTATCCACAAATTGATTAGCAGAGGATCACACAGAATGGGCTACCATGGTTGCAAACCTCCAGTAACGGAGATGCCACATAAGAGGAAGAAGAGTGTAAGCTTAATTCAGCCCCCTATATGTGTGCTTTATGATACAGTCTTTAATTACATGATCGCATACTAATTTTTCCACAGGACCCCTGCTTCATTCAGTGTGAATGATGGACCTTCTCTGGAGCTGAATAAGGGCTGTCTTGTCTGTAGGATCCCTACCTGATTTGTTACAGAAGCTCGGAAGGTATGCAGTGAATGAGGCAAGGGTCTGCAGGAAGAGAAAGGGCAGTCTTATGATAAAGACAGTGGAATGCTGCCCTGGAGAACTGACTTCTTTTCTTGCTTCTGCCACAGAGTTCCTACATGATGCCAATCAAGTCACTTAAGACAAACTTTTCAGAGGTGGTCATTAATTGTGTATGCCTCACATACTGGATGCGCAACTTGACATCCTGCAATCTGATTGACAAAAGGGCCGAGCACTCACAACTGCAAATAAAGTCAATGGCAGCTACCCTCTGATCATATGAAGTGCTATATAATGCTAAGTACTCCAAAAAATTAGGTCCAAGGTGTCTTTTTACCTTAATATCTCTTAGCCTCAGTTCTCCTTCTGTGAAATGGAGATAAACAATACCGCCTCATCTCACAGGGGTCTTGTGAAAACAGATTCATTACTGTTTATGAAGCACTCAGATAATATAGTGGAGAATGCCACAGAAAAGTCCATGAGGAAATTAATAATTCTGTGTTCAGAGCACCCTATGAGGCAAGAGTCCTCTGGAAAAAAAATTGTATGTGTTAATTTAATTAAAACTATCACAATGTATATGCACAAGGGGGCTGAATTAAGGTTGCATGGCAGCTTAATTAACATTTGGGAAGTCTTCCGAGACCCTAAAATGAAACTGCTTGTGAAATTCTTCCCTCTTACCCTTCCCCCTCCCCCGCGGTTCAGAAGGCCTGTGCAACACTTAAGACTTCTTAAAAGAAGTGGTACATTGGGCCGTTGCATGTCTTTTACATAGAGTTTTCTATGATAATCGCAGTGTATTACTGTTACTCCTGCAAAGAGTAGCATGGCATTTTTAACAACACAGTCAGTATCTCTATACAAGAAAGACAGAATACTAAGCAACTGAGGGCCCACTAACAGCAGTCAGACACTAATTCATCACTAACCAAGAAAAGATGCACACCCCATACTTATTCATTACCATCATTTCCTGCAGTACAATATGAAGCAGAAGCCAAAAAAGACAAATCGAACTTTTGAACTACAACCAACACTCACAACAAACATTGTCCTTTTTCTGAAACTATTACACATCAAATTCTTCTGCCCCAGACAAGTTATTAGGGTAATCAAAATATTTTAATTGTGCCCCTAACATTTGTTAAACCATATTTTTTCATAACATTTTACCAAGCTGCTAGAATCATAATAGTTAGAATTGAAATGCCCAGTTTTATAATTTGTCATTTCTTTGCACAAAAATGTAGTGCTTACACATTTGTGTTTCTTAATTATGATTCAAGAGTTATAAATATGGTAAAAAAAGACTTAATTATATCATGCAAGATAAAAATGTTCCTGTTTTAGTCATCTAGCAGTATGAACGTTCAAAAGGTGAAAAAAACAGTCAAATTTATTTGAAAAGAGAGACTTTAAATCACAGTTGCTGTCTGAACCTTATACATAATGGAGACCAAAAACATCATTTATGACACTTGCATTATGGAAGCCCTTCATAGAGAGCTGTAGGCAAAATTTCTATCCTGTTTTAATAATGTATTAAAACAACAAAAACCCCTTTGTTTAAAAATTAAACATTATTTAAATATTAAACATTCGATTTTCTTTTAATTGTTAAACAGATTACGAAAACAAGTTAGAAATGTATGTACTGTCTATTACACAGAGCTCCCATAAGGCCCATGTCACAAATGATGTCAGCTTAAAGTAACAATATCCTCTGCTTTTTTAAAAGCATACAACCCAACTTCCACAGCTCATGACTTCTTGCCATAGGAATGCCTAGAGTATCAATACAGATCTTGTATGTGGTGCTGAAATAAATGTTGCTCTTTCAAAGGTTATTATACTAGGAAAAACCTACAAAACAATGTGCTGCAGTGTTCTTATCACTGTAAGATCAAATACATGGACTATAGATTGGGAGAAAAAAATATAAACAGAAAATTAGGAAAAAGACACACAGAGAAAAAACTCTCCTTTAAAACCGTACGTATATTTCCAGGATAAGGTCTAAATACCACAGGAAGGAATAACCTTTTGATATTGCAGTAGTGCCCAGAGGCTGCAATCAAGATCAGGACCCCACTGTGACAGGTAATGTATGAACACAAAGGGAGAAGCAATCCCTACCCCAAAGAGCTTACAATCTTGTTTGATTTCTTACTATCACTGAAGATGAATGAATCCATAAGATGGAACTCTGCCTGAATGACTATTTCTAGGCCCTAGTACTAGCCCTGGCCACGCCGAAGAACTATGGCAGCTCACAAATAAACACACAGAATAGAACATTTAAATTCAAGTGAGAGCCACAGAGAAGGCACGAGGGCAAAGGAAGAAAAAAGGTGAAAATAGCAAGATCAGTGGTTATACACCAAGGATTGTGGAAATTTTAAGGGCTCTTATCTTTCCTCCTCTTTATTTCTCATAGACAAGACAACAGACGTAAGATTTTAGAACAGACCCAAATGCAGCGAAGTAGGTTATTTGGTAAACAATTTTGAGACAGGCATTCTAAACATAAAGGGTAGCACAGAATAAGGTATGGGAACTGTAAGAGAAGGAAAAGAAACAAGCATTGAGACTGGCATCACTAAGGAGCATAAGAGCGGAGGAAAA